GGGCACAGCCTGGGACATCACTGCTCCTGCCTCTGAGCACCACTGCCCCCCTGCTTCCCAACAGAAAACATGATTACTGCTACAGACGGCAGCTTGGTGAGGGCTGTTTTCACCTGTGTTCTCCACACAGTCCTGCTCTGTGTTTCAACAATCCTAATGCTGTCTGGAGGGCCTGGCTTTGACTCTGCTCCTCGTGCTCCCAGGGACACTGGGAAGCTTGTGGCCTGCCCTGGTGATTCACATGCTTATTTTTCCAGCCTTTGGTTGCAATCTGGATGGCAGCCTGTGCTTTTGGCTACCAACTACGAATCAGATGCTTACTTTGGTTTTTGATTCCTTTCTGGTTTTGCAATAAATGACTTTAAGTTTTTGTAGGAAAGTGCTGAAATGGTACTTTTGAAAAGTACAAAACAAGAGGAAAAACAGTACTTTTGAGCAGGCTAGGAAGATGGAATGTGCACTAACACAAAATTATTAACTCCACAGCCAAAATGCTTCCACGGGAAATTGGAAAAACAGTGAATTCAGTGACTAAGGAGCCTCAGATTTCTGGGAGTGAAAAAGGCACAGTATTTACACCTTGGGGCCACTCAGTGTTAAATTACTGTCAGGTGTTGTTTTGCATGTACAGCCCCAGAGCCCTATCTCTGGGAAGTGAGCAGTCTGGAAAGCACAGGGAGCAATGCTGGTGCCCATTTCCAAGACACAAACTGCACTCTGCAGCCACAGCACAGCTCCAAACTCACAGGACCACTGACAGCAAGAGGCAGGAATTGTGTGTGACAGCTCTTTAAAAACTCTGCCCGAGTGGCAGCAGCTTTTTCTAGCAGCCAGTGACTCCTGATGCCCTTCATGGCTCCCTGCACGATTAAAGGCGAGTTCAGCAAATCCCTACACCAAGTTTAACTGGGGGAGCTCTGAGATGCTCATTTAATCCAACTTACAGAGCAGCTGCTCATTACAGCTGCTCTCTCTATGCATGAGCAATACACAGATGTCCCACTGTCCCCACACACGTCGTGTGGCTGCACGATGAGCCCTGTGTGGTACTGAGGACAACCACCAACTCGACCAGTTTCTCTTCTTCAAGAAGATAAGGAAGACTTACTTCTTGTGTGAGTCTTCTGGTGAAGAAAGGATTCAAATACTCCACATCAAGCCGCATAAACCCTTTGAGGTTCTGACGTTTTATGTACTGGGCTTCATATTCCTCCTCTGTGAGCTCTGACAAATGCTCAGATTCTATGGTGTTTCCCTAGAAAAATCACAAAGATGGACTAACCGAGAGAAGTGGCAGTCATCCCACCACCCTGCTCCAGCCCCTGCTCTGTGGTGTCCCTTGTCACAACCAGTTGTCATGCTGGAACAATATGGAACTGATCCCCATCCCAGCCTCGCAGGGCTTAGGCCTGTGAGTCTGTTCAGCCATTGAATCCCAGAGCCACTTAGTTCCCTTTCCATGCTGAAAGGGAAAAGACCTCAAATGTTCCATGTTTTGTATTGTTACTATTGCTGAGAACAGGTTTCGACTGTGCAGGTTTTCTCTTGTGAGCTGGACAATGCTTTAATCCAGCAAGCTCCACTGCTGTCATTGTCCCACTGAAAACGAGCCCTGTCAAACACGCCCTGTCCCTGCACTCTGCCTGCACTTCCTTGTGTGGGCAGTGCAAGGGCATTCTGAGGACTACAACCAACCTCATACAAAGAGAAAATGTTCTGAAGATCCTCTAGAACAATACCCTGCATATACTTTTCAACAGCTTTGAGAAAAACAGGCAAAAAATGTTCTGTGATACTTTTTAGTCTCTTCTTTTGCACAAGAGGTTCCAGAGTGGCTTTTGGCTTTGTCAGATCTCTTGCTTTGCCAGAAATTGCTTTAAAATAAAGTCCAGTCAGAGGGGGGCTATTGTTATGACCTTCTCATGACCTTTGCATTTTTCAAAATAATTTCCATCTGCCTTTTATGATTAATTTCCATCTCACACTGTACCAACTACTTTCTCTCTGTGTATGACTCAATCCTCTATCATCGGCTTTATGCTTTTCCAGGGATTACTTTAATTTATATAGCTCAACCTGTAATTGGATTGAATTAAGAGATTATTTGTCCTCCCCTTGTCCAAACACATATTTTGTATAAACACTAAGCAAACTCTGTCTTTGGGATATATTAAAATTATATTGCTTGGCTTTGTCCTACTACCTTGGCTTTTTCTACTGCCTTCATCTTACTTTTTAGGAAAAAATCATGTACTAGTCCTGAAAAATGTCTGAACTGGAAAAAACTCCCCACCCAAACCCCAGTGACGCTGAGAATGGAAGCCCAAACAAACCATCTTCTCTGTCTTGCTGAGATTGACATCCTTCTTGCTCCTCTTGCGGGGCTTGGAGTCCTCGATGTCCACGAGCCTGATGAGGGGCATGGTTCCCCCTCCCAGCAGCAGGATGGTGAAGAGCACGATGATGATGGTCGTGGTGCCGATGAGCTGCCGCTTCTCGATGGGCTCCAGGCCCAGGTGCAGGCTGAGGGCATAAGGAATGGCACCACGTAATCCTCAGGGGAGAGAGCAGGGCAGCAAGGGAGAGTCACCAACAGCAGCAGCTCCTGAGCACCCGGAGAGCCCAGCAGCGATTCTCCACCCTCCCAAGGGCCTTCACAATTCTCCGCCCTCCCAAGGGCCTTCACAATCCTCCACCCTCCACAGGGCCTTCACAGCTGTCCACCCTCCACAGGGCCTTCACAATCCTCCACCCTCCCAAGGGCCTTCACAAACCTCCATCCCCCACAGGGCCTTCACAATCCTCCACCCTCCACAGGGCCTTCACAGCTGTCCACCCTCCACAGGGCCTTCACAATCCTACACCCTCCAAAAGGCCTTCACAGCTGTCCACCCTCCACAGGGCCTCCACAATCCTCCACCCTCCCAAGGGCCTTCACAGCTGTCCACCCTCCACAGGGCCTCCACAATCCTCCACCCTCCCAAGGGCCTCCACAATCCTGTCCGTGCCCATTTGCTACCACTGGGCTGCCACCCTAAACGAGTCTGAGCATTTCAGACACTCTTGGTCAAACTGTGAAGCTGCTGGGCCTAGAGAGACAAGCACCTCCATGCAGAAAAGCTCTTGTGAGCTCAGAGCAAAGTCCTCACCAGAGCAAAGTCCTCCAGCACAAAGGGGAAAGAGAACATTTCCTTGCACTTGGGTATCAGAACAGTGAAATGTTCAGCTGAGTTTTGCTCAACTAATGAGAAACCAGTTCCTCCTCAAGTGGGCCACACAATGAAAGAGATAAAACATTTTTTCTGGCTCTCAGTATTCTGAGCTTTAACTTACCACTAAACCACATGATAAACATCATTTTGGGAGTGATTTTATGATCACGGAAAAAGTTGAGTAGGTAGGAAAGTGGAAAAATATTCACTGCTCTACCAAAGAGAACCAGCACCTGAAAAACAGAAATAAAAGCAAAGACCATTTGATGTGTTACATCCACGAGCCCCAGTTGCAGCTGGCTTTACAGGGCAAGGTGAATATGTTCTTTTTGCTCATAGGCAGGTGTGCTGCTCCATGAACAGAGAGAGCACAGGGCATTGTGGAATTTTGTTCCTGAAACATTTTGTCTGCTTAACTGAAACTAAATCAGACCTGTCATTGATGGCGACCAAGTTGCTTTACTTATAATAAATAAATGGAACCCAGGAGACATTCCAGGGAGTACTTTGGGTAAAAGTGCTCCTCAGTTCAGCTCCTTTAATAAGTCCCTTGGTGCAGCAGCCAAGAGGCAATAAGGGATTTCTATTGTCTCCCTGTTGCTCAGAAAGGCCAGGAGCCAAACAAATACACGTCAGCCTGTTTCTCAACACGTCCCTGGGTAAGGCTATAAAACATACCCCACACTGAAGCAACACTTTTGAGAGCAGAAAAGAAAAAAAGGGGACTATTGATTTAACAGCAAACAATTAACAAACACAGAGAAAACTTTAACTCAGAAAAAGGCAAGGTTTTCTCAGAGCATTGTTTTTAAGCTCCACTACAAACAGACCTTGATAAGGTAAATATCCTAGAATTAGTCAGCAGGATCCTTGAAGGGCTGTGCTGTTTTCCTTTATGAATCACCCCAAAATTACACAATTGCATCATGCCTGAGAGAGCAATGGCACCCAGAAGGAAGAGTCACACCTTAGATATATATTAGCTAGGGAAGCTGTGTGCAGTGCAGGCAGAGCAGCTCCCTGTGCTGATATCCCTGTCTGGGGAAGCTGCAGATAACAATCCTTCCCTTGAACCATGCACTGAATGGGCCAGTGTGCACTGCTGTACACTGGAAAGGGACCCACACTGCCCTCACTGCAAAAGGAACACACTTCTCATGCTGATATTAAACCATTATAATGGCAGCAGGTGATCCACAGAGTCACTGCACTAAGGCACGCTGAAATGGGTTTAAAAACAAAAGAATTAGGAAAGGAGTCAGAGAATTTTTTATAAAAACCCATAAATCATAACAATTATTCTAAAATCTTTTAACTGTAAGGTGTTTCCCCCTCTCCAATACCAAAAATGCATCTAAAAAGATATGGAAGGAAGTAAATACCTACTATGCACCAGATGACAAAGGACATTTCAAACTTGTGAGGAAAACTAAAAATTGACAGGCCAAGAAATGCAAAAACACACGTTTCTGAAAAAGAGAAATCGCATTTAAATAAACAATTCTAGAAAATCTTTTCTACTCCTGCTATTAATTACTACATACAGTACATAAAACAGGATTTCCTGACCAAACCCTGGAGAGCTGCTGGTGCTCACTAAGGAGTGGTTAAGTTCCCTCTGCAGCAAAGCCACTCCCTGATCACACTGCATCCTCCTGCAAACAATACAGAATTCATTCACGGCAGCCCCCAGAAATCAGGGACATGTTTGTAATGCAGGGACATGTCATTTCTTCAAAGGTTTGGTTTGCAAAAGGAACTGGAAAGGCTCTAGGACTGAGCTGCTTGTACCACTACTTCCAAAAACCTCCATATGTAAAGTTACTGTTTTTGCAAGTAGCTTTTTATATTAAAAAACATTAAAAAATAACACTCAACCCCCACCTCCTAGAACTAAAAACAGACTACAGGACCACAGGAGTCAGTGATCTCTATTTGGCCATCAATCTTATGGCAAATCTTAGCAGGAGCCTGCAGGATGGCAGAGAGATTTACTGCATGTTTTATCCAGTGTGGCAGGAAAGGTGACTTTTGAGTGCCTTCCAGCCTCCACTCTCAGGAACTCTTCTCTTAAAGACAAGGACCACGGACACACAAATGCCTGGATGCAAATTCACACCTCTGCTGCTCCCAACAGAACCACAGCTCCATGCAAGTGACATTTTAAAGGATTAATACTAGATTTAATAGCAGGCAGCACCTACCACACATGAAAGCCACAGTTCTGAGTGTCTGCTGCATCAGGATCTGTGTCACTGGGGACAGGTTGTGGTGAGTGTAGTGAGACATCACGATGCCAGAGAACAGGATTGCCATGATACCTGTGGGCAGGAACGGGGCAGTCAGCACAGGACTCTGCGAGGATTTACTGCAGAGACCCTCCAGAGTCATCTTCTCACAAGGCAAAACCTGCTCCTGCAGCAACACAAATATTGTAACATACCAAACAGTGCGGTCAGAACTCATTCTGCTGCTCACCTGAGAGTGAGATCCCTTCTGCAAGTCCATAAGGAAGGTAAGCAAAGATAATCATCATCCCAAATTCCAGGGAAGGTGTCTTCCTTAAATCAATGTGCTTTAGTACGTGCACACAGAAATGTTATGGAAAAAGTAAATAAAAAAATAAATCAAAGAAATATTTTGATGTGTTCATTCCATTACAAAGCAATGATTATGCTTAATGTACTTCTCTACTGAATAACCAATAAAATCTACATATTGGCCTTCAACTCAAGTATGGAAAGATTAGTAATTTCTTATGAGAGGAATGTGTCCTATAGAAGCTACTGCTGGTAGAAGTCTGTCAGAAGACAGAGGCAGACACAGAAGAAGATCTCTTATTGATGTGCCTCTACAATACTGATAACAGGTAAGTCAAATACTTTTGAGGCACAAGTAACTCTAAAGGGCAAACAAGCTGCTTTTCTCTTTGACTTACTATAATTTAGATATGAGTCAATGAAGTGCTGAACATCTGTCTCCTTCTTTTGTTGTGATGTATGGAATAATTTCAAAGTTTTTGAATTAGGCTGATGAACCAAAAGGGGAAATTAGTCTGTATTTAATCAAATATTCTCTTCCTGCTGTTTACAAAGCAAGTGTTTGGCAGTGTGTCCCAGCTGATCCCAGTACAGCTGCACAGCCCAGAGCTCACACAGTGAAGTCAGAGCCAGCATTAAACCAGCCCAAGAAGGAACAAAGGTGTCTGGGCCACAGCAAACAGCCTTCCTGATCTCACACAGCAGCTCCTGGGTTGTTTAGCAACCAATTCATGGAAGTGGAAGAGGCAAAATATAACCCAGGGTAAATCCAAACAGAACAGTGTCTGCATTCAGCTGCCTGCACATGATCCATAGGGACAAACGAGCTGGGCTGACTCAAAGGCCCCCGGGAAAAGCAGCTTTTTTTTCTTTTTAATTAACTGTTTTATGTATGTAAAGAAGAAGCCATATGCTTGTTAAAATGGATTGGTATTGAAATGAAATTAATATATTTTGAATTTACAAAACAATTACCATATCTTATAACACTCCAATGCACATAAGCTATTATATAACATTTCAGACCTTAATTATGTTCATAAAAATTTGATGCCACTTTTAATACACTCCCAGGCACACTAACATAAAACCGAAATAATGTCTGAAAAGAAATATCCTCTAAGAAATGCTGGAGAAGATGGGGAGAAAAATACTACTAGGATGTTGCAGTTCACCAATGTATACATATATATCACCAAAATTAAAAAAGGATATTAATGCAGAAATAAGACCAGTAAGTGTGCCAAGTGCTGCAGAGCCAAAGAACATCTTGAGAAAGTATCCCAGTGCCTGTAGAAAGGTTTGCCATCCACTTACATCTGACATATTTTCCCTTGTCAAACCTTCTGCTGTGCTAGATACAATTAAAAGAGAAATAAAAAGAAATGGTTATACATTCTAAGCCTGGATCCAAAAATATCAAACATCTTTTGAGCATAACAACAAAAAAGACTCCAATTTCTTTATTGCTACCACTCTTAAAAGGCTTTTACTGTGATATATATAACAAGAGGAATGTCAAAAGACGTTAAATCAAGCCTCAGTGTAATCCCCAAAGGGAAACCTAATTCTGCTAAAAACCCAGCATTGCTCCTCTGAAGAATCCCAGAATGGCGTAAATAGGCTATGGTGATGCCCAGCATTTGAAAACAATGTTCAAACTTTGAGAAGGAAAAGAAAACACATTTTACAGTGCTAAAAACTCATGTGATCCTCTGAGAAGAACAAATGAACAGGAAGAACTCTCATCAAATATTTAGGTGCGGATGAGAGACAAGAAGGTCACTGAAGGAAAACAAAGCAGCTCTTAACAGGAAAGGGAAGAAACCTCTTTGAATTTCAGGAATATATTTAATGACAATTCTGTGCAAAGAACACACAGATTCTAGCTAGTGTTTCTTTTGGCTGCTTTTAGCCTTCAGTACTGAAAGCACCACAACTATAATAAAAGCAATTAACCCATTAGAAAATTACTCTGACTTCACTACCTGCTTGGCACAGCCATTCCTTCTATACATTCACAGTCACATCTGTTGGCTTCAGCAATAAGATGAAGACACACCTATCCATTCTTTACTCTTCCAGCCCCAAAGAATTCTCATAGGCAACAGATAAGGACACTGGAGGTTCCTCTTGTCTGCAGCCCCAACATGAACACGACCCCAGTGCATGGCCTGTACTGCTCCCCAGGCACAGGGGCACTCTGGGCACACGCCAGTGGCACAGAGACAGAGCAGCAGGGAAGGTGAATATTGCTGTGCCTGACAGGGCACATCTGGGGCTCCTGCTGCCAGGACCCTCCATGGAAAGAGAGCTGATCATGAAAGGAATTAGAAAGAATCCATTATCTAGGGTCAATGAGATAAGGCTCTGAGGTAGGGAAATGAGGCAACCATTAACTGTCCCCTGCCCGTGCAGTTCATGTTATGGATTGCTTTTGACACAGAAGCACCATGCAGGATTCAGCCTCACACCTGAAATACACAATGTGCTCCAAAGGAAGGTGGAAGAATAACTGTAGACCAAAAACACACAGAAAACAGTGTAGTGACTGTTTCCATAAACACGTGTGGCTCCAATGCACTTACTTGGTCAGGACAATTGAGACTGCATCGTTGAGAATACTTTCTCCAAAAACCAACATGTTAAGCACAGGATCCACATTAAGGGCATTGAAAATGGCAATAGTGGCCACGGGGTCAACTGCAGATATCAAAGAGCCGAACGCAAAACTGGGAGAACACAAAAGATGACACTAAGTAAAAGAAAAACACCTACCTAGTAACTTACATGAACAACAGTAACAAAGCTCGTTTGTGTTACAGTTTCTACACAGTGATAAGAAAGTACTTTCTTTCCAGTCATAAGAACTTGGCCACTTGCCAAGTTCTTGAAAAATTTACAGTATTGATTCTGAAAAATTTACCCTGTCTTTTAAGAGAGGATGTGGACAAGGAAGTTATACCCTTATCACATGTATTAATAATACCAGCTAATCAAGGTTTACAAATCTTAAAGTTTGGTTAAAATACCCAGTATCTCTCTCAAGAAATCACTGAGCACAGAACAGAATAGACTGGAATGCAAAAGAATGGAATATAATACAATACTATTTGGAAATAAGGGTAATAAATATGGTATAGAAGTGTTCCATCTATTTCTTAGTTTCATATACAATGTTGAATCTCAGCAGTCTTTACACTGACCAAAAGAGGTGGCCAACTGTAGTCCATTTCCCACCTACAGCTATCCTGAAGAAAGCTTTATTTCATATACTACACCATTTCCCCAAGAGCTTACCTGTCTGTCATGTTGAGTTTATAAATTACATCAGCCTGAAAGAATAGGTAGAACATAATCACAATTAACTATGGTATTCTTCTGTTCTTAAAAATCAAACTATTCATCAAATCCCGAATTCATTGTGAAGAAAAATTCACAGTAGTGATGTTGTCCAGTTTAACACTGCCCTTCCACTGGAATCTACTGCTACAGTTCTGGTCACCCAAGATCAGGGAACTAGAGCAGAGTCAGGTGAGAAGGGTAACCATGACATTCAGAGGAGGAGAAATCTGAGTGGCAAACAGGAAAGTATACAATGCTTGGCCTTCCAGAATGAAGAGAAAAGACAAATATCTGTGTCTATATGTAACCAATGGGAAACACCAAAATTAATATTGTAGAGTATATGACGGCTCTAGAGAACACAGGTTTTAGAACAGCCTTCCAACAGTTAGATTGTGGAAGTCAGAAAAAAGCAAAGCTCAGGTCTCAATTGCTGTTCCCAGACAGGCTGTGCAAGAGTGGCTCAGGCTGGAAGGGACCCCTGAGGTCACCTACCCCCCCTCCAGCTCACAGGGCCCCTGGAACACGGGACCCAGGGCTGCATGCAGAGAGCTCTGGAGTAGCTCAGGGAGGGAGACTGCACAGCCTCTCCAGCAATATCCATGGAAGGGGTGTGTAACACTGCCTTGGTGGGAACTGCACTTTGTGACCCAGCAATTCACTCGCACTCCATTTGTCTGCTCTTAAAAAAGGGACTTGCAAACAACAAGCCAGATAAAATGGAGTGCTTTCAACAGTAAGTCTTACCCGGCCCAGGAAATAGATTCCTCCACCTACAATGAAAGCTGATATTGCAGTGCCAAATACTGAGAACAGAATGATGGAACCAATGTTCTGAAAAAAATTACCCTGGAACACAGTAAGAAAATAAGTAAGTTAGTACAAATGGCCTGAGGGAAAACTCATGTTTGGGTTTCCATTTAATTACATTCTAACTCACAACTGGGTTTCCCATTACAAAGGCTCAGTTTGGTTCCAGGTACACACATCCGGGACACACATCCACACCATCTGCCTGGAGAGAGTGCTGCTCTCCTGAGGACAACAGCAATTCCTCTGACTCCCAGCACTGATTCCCTGTCTGGCACCACAGCAAGAGCCCAATCCTCAGGCAAACAGCTGGATATTCACCAGCACTCAGACATATTTCCCACCTGGCAAAAGGGTAAGTTAATCCCTCTGCTGGAGACAGGGCATGTGAAAAAGGCTTGTACACTTCCCAGCTGCTAGTCCATTGCTTGTGATTTTGTATGAGGAGGTCTCCAGTGTTGGCAGCAGCTCGTGGTATCACCATGGCCACTGCTCCCTGCTCTCCTGCAGCACAGCTGGAGCACAAGGCTGCCCAAGGGAGCACCAAAGCCCCTGGGCCAGGAGGGCAGCTGTGAGAAATGCCCATGGAAACACAGGCCCCCAGGCAAGGCTCACAACCTCACACACATTTCCCTCTTCTTCAGCTGTGGAGTGACCCCACCTTTCCCCTTCTGCTCCTTCACAGCAGCCCTGGTACAGCTCTGGTGAGGCAAGAACCTCTCCAGCCAAGGAAAACCTCGTCTGTGCTGTGCCCCACACCTTGCCAGCACTCAGTTATCAGCAACAGGCTACACTCCCTGCACTCTGCGCTGAAGGAGTTTAAATTTTGCACTCTCAATTCCCTAATGATTAATATAATGGAATTTAATGCAATTATCCTAAGCTTCATGGAGATAACTAAAAGCAGAATCTGTTCCAAACAAAACCTCAACATCCAAAATGAGTTTGGCAGGGACTGACCTTGTGCAGTGAATATCCAGATTCAAATATAATAGGTGGAAGCAAAAGCAGAAAAAACATATTTGGACGAAACATTTCTTCTTCCTGAAAAAAAAATCATTATAATTTCAGGGCTATCATCATTATTGAAATAATATCAAACCTTCCAAAAGAAAAGCTATTAAAATAGTGATGGAAAATGAAAAATCTTTTTCCTTTCTTATCACGAAGTACAAGACTGAAGAACAGTACACTATTCCAGGGCTGCTGCTTCTATTGTTCTTTTTCAACCCAGCGACAGAAAACTAGGAGTTACTTATTTTAAATTACTGTCTCCAAAAAAGCTGCATAGGAACAGGTTATTTATGGTAAAGGAAAAATCTTCCTGTTTCCACAAAGAGTATTCCCACTTTATCTGAGAGTTTGGAAATCTGTAAGGCCTGCCAAGGAACAGTGACCTCCTGGCCACTGTTTGAACAGAACAGGTTAGCTGGGACCAAGCAGCTTCACTGGAAAACTCATCACCTGACAAGAAAATCACATCATCAGCCCAGTGCCCCTGCAGGTGAGCAGGCTCAGGTGACACACCACCTGAGGGGCCTGAGGCTGGACTCTTCTCAGCAGATGTCATTTCTGCTGAATTGAATGGGACTGTTCTGATGGTTCCTCTGTGCCATCACAGTGATATAAATGGAACCCACCATGAGGTAAGATGCTATTTTCTGTGTCCTCAGTCTTTGTCACTTATCTCATCCCTGGCTAACACTGCTCACGCTGTACCCCCAGCCTGGCACCCTGGTTTTCCTGCTGGCAGAGCAGGCACAGAAGGCAAATGAACGCCAGCTGAGGGGCCAGTCTCTGTGCCCACCTGTTTCCTCCCTCCTGCTCCCCTCAGAGCTGTCACCTCCACAAGCACTGACTAACTTGTTTAAACCCAGGGTGAACAGCTGATGGACTGCTCTGTTCTGTTCTAACACCAGCTCTCAAAACAGAGGTACTCATCTCTTTATTTACAGTCTCATTCCTGCCTGTACCACTGATAATCATCTTAAAGGATCTGGGGGCTTAGCAAACCAAACCCATCCTTTGGGTGTGCAGCACAGCCCTGTGAGTGCCTGGCTGCCTCTGCCTGCTCCTGCCCCTCAGCAAACCCACAGAGCTGGGCTGCACCCCACAGACACCCGAGACACAGCTGGACAAGGAATGAGAGCAGTGGAAAGGAAGGACTGTGCTTGTGCTGCATGGCACCAGAGGAAAACAAAACATGGGGGCTCTGACTATCAGCTGCGCTGGCCAAGCACAACCAGCAAGCACAAGGTCCTGGTGCTGAACCTGAGTGAACACTCAGAAATTACATAGCAAAGTTTTCAGGGCAGGGAGATTATCCAAGATTTGCTTTGTACAGGGATATAGCCTGCAGTTAAATATTTCATTTTTTATCTTATCAGATAAACAAAAGGTATTTAGTAAATTTAGATCCATTTAAAACCATGTAATGAAGTCCACAATTATTGATCTAACATTACAACTGCCTATGTTAAAACCTAAGTTTTATTACAATGAAAATAACTCAAATAAAAAATAATAATGTGACATCTGTGGCCTTCCACCTTGGCTGACAACACAAACAAGCACAACTCCCCAGTGCCTCCCAAGATGTGACCAACACTTCCCAGAAAGCCCCCATGTAATTCATCAGCTGTGATCAGCATTTGCTGTGTTTGGAGAAAAAGTGCTCCAATCAGAGCATGAAGCTTTCTTCTCTCTTACATGCATTATCTTACTCAGATTATTTTATTTAATCTGTAAGAAATTAATTTAAAATGCTCATGTTGTGGCCATTTAATTGATTTTCAATTTTAAGTCCAATCCAGTTGACACAAATCATGAATGAAAAAGCACTAACTACTGCAGCCCCCATTGTTTCTAATGACTTCATATGTAAAAATGAAATATTTCAACACAACTGCTGAGCTATGTAATTGTTTAAACTGTTTAAATTGTTTAAAGTGTATACAGAACCAGTGTGGTTAGTTGATAAAAAATAAAAGCATAATATGTAGTTCAAAAGCTACATCAGATTGAAAATCCATGCATTTTAATGTATTTCAGCTAAGGAGAAAAAGATCTTCCTTTAGGGCAATAACTGCCAAAAAATATAAAACTGCAACCTAGGATTAAAATTCACTACTCAGACCAAGATGTTCAGCTGGCTGATATAAATTCTGTTTAGAACTGGCAATTCAAATCACTGTGACTTCAATCAGTTCACTGATCTAATAAATTGTTTGGTGCTGTGAAACAAAATCATAGTTTAAATGTTGCAAGATTTTAAATTAAAGCAGGAATAGTGAAGAGTTCATTGCTTCGATAATGTGGATAAACAGTAGGAGGCAAAATCCTTCCTTCAATGGAGACTTCAGCTCTAGGAGAAACTTCTGTCAGGACTTGCCCTCTAAAACATCAAGTATTACAAAGCCATTTTTGTAAGATTTAGGGACTTTTCTACATTTAAAAATTAATTGTTACAACTATACCTTCCAGTTGGCCAGCTTTTGAGCCTCTATGATTTTTATAAAAGCTCCCATAAGGATACCTAGGAGAGAATAAGAAAACATTCTGAAACAGCAACAAAATGTGTCAGTGTTTATCAGCTCTCCAAGTTTTAGAAGTGAAAACAATGCAAAACATAGCGCAAGTTAGTTTCATCCCTAAACCATGAAAGCACTGAGTGGTTTTGGGTTTAATCCCCAAACACCCAGTTTCCAATACCTTACATACCTGCAGAGTTTCCCTGCACAACAGATTGTCTCTTGGGATATCCCAGCTCCAAACAGACCTACCGAGAGCGTGATGCTCACTGGGTCAGAAAGATAACAGGCTTAACTACTCAAAACCACTTCTCATCCTAGCTGCACTCAAATGAAATTTCACCTTGCTTGCTGAAGAATCAGAAGTCATGAGTTAGGCATCTGTGCTTCATGTCACTTCAATATTATCTGCAGTTAAAGCACCTTAAATGAAATCAGTCTTCTCCACAGAAGTGAATTTTGTTTGAATGAAATCATAGCCCTTTCTGGCAATGAAGAAGGCAACAAACTCTGATCAGGGTGGAGATCCTGTCAGAACCATTTTCCAAATGAATTACACACTGTTTAAGTCATGTAGAAATAATGTGAATACAGAAGATAGAATTTTATCAAGGCTGCTGCAAACTCGGTGGTTAAAGGTTATAGCACTCTTTCCTCCCATACATCTTCAAACATAAAACTGTAACAAGATTTCCTCTGGAAGTCAAGAAGATAACTCATGAACTGTCATTAATTGTTTTCAAGTAGTTCTAGGGAACTTGTCTTCAGCCAGATTTCAGATCTGTGCTTCTGCATACTTGTGTTTTATAATTTACAGAATGGAGACTTCACAGTCAAACACTGGGACAGAAGCCAAATACTCCAAACAAAAGGCACAGAGTGTCTGAGGAGCCTGAAGTATGCTTTCCTGTAACTCATGTTAAGTGTGCTTTTCTGTGACTCATGAGACCTCCTCTGCTGCTGCAGCTAACAAAAGAGTCTCACAAACAGAATCACATGGATTACTGCTGATGGATGTGTCACACACACAAAGCCACGAGGCCTAAGCCCTCCTTTATACAAAGATCTGGGAAGGCTTCGGTCCCAGAGGGGAGAAATAATTGTTCCATGAAATGGTTTCTGTGGAAAGGAAGAGGAAAACATAAATGAAGCAACATCAAAGGCCTGCTGTTCCTTGAAGGACAGAATGCAGACAGCCACTCACATGCCACATGCATTTACAAACTACTCTTTCTTTATTACTAAATGAATGAACGCAGGTTTAGATCAGCTGTTTCTATTAAATCAGGCAGGTCATTTTTGTCAAGGGGCTAATTAGAAGGGTTCGTCTGTACCAGTTAATCTATACCTCATTTTTTGAAAATTTTATAGGCATTTTCTTATTGCAACCAACCTTTATTTTTCCTGAGAACATGTTAAAACTCAGTAACAAATCAAAGAGAAAAAACATTTCTGGAAACTATTTTTACCAACAAAATCCCAGCAACTTATAAGGATGAGAATCAAAATCCAGCCTCAGAGAATGCACTCCCACCCTGTCCACCAGGAGAGACACACCCTCTAGGAAACATAAACCAGAAGCTTCTGAGCAGCTTAGACAATGAGTGGAAAAACACTTGTGAAAATCATATCTCTCTTCTCTGCTGCCACTTTTATTAGCCTTCAATAACTTCCTGAGAGGACTGCTAAATTTAAAAGTCAAAACAGGACACACCTCACTTCTGGCACTGCTGGCAAAACTGGATACTTGAAACTCAAGCTGTGCTCTTGCAGCTGTGCAGAGCATTAGCAGGACCAGAGGGTCACTGTGCTGGCAGCTGCAGGGATCACACAGGTGCTGTGCTCCCACCAGGCTGAGACTACACTGAGAAATTAATGAATATTACAGAATAATACAGTAGAGAAAATAATCAATATTTGACCTGATTTGCTCCTCAATTATACATTTATAAATCAGGAGCAGCAGCATACAAATAAATTAAATTACTCTGACATAAAACTGTAGGCTCAGAATGTCCCCAGATTTATTCCAAATGAAGTACACACCTGATCTCCATGAAGCATGACACTCTTGTAACTCTAACCATAGGAAAAGCTCTTGTCATGGTACTGCTGGGACAGTTAAGGGTCTGGCAGGCCAGGTGAGTTTTTGGGACAGTTGCAGTCCCCAGCTACATTAAAATCCCACACTCAGACATAAATCTGCCAACACCAATATAAACTCATGTACCAGCTCAAAGGGAAGGCTGGAGCCTCATGACCAGGGGGTGTCGCACATCTTGTCCAACCCTGAGGATGCAAACCAGAGGAAGATGCCAAAGTACTCAGGCAGTGACGTCCCTACAGGTGTCATTTTCCTGGGCCAGTCTCTGTGTGTATGCTCATTTCTTTATTTCTTCCATCAATTTAACTCTGAGAATTACTCACTTTCTTCACTGCATCCAGTGGGCTGTATCTTTCTAGTGATGGCTAACACACAACAGAGCATTATCTCTGTTACAGGTAAAAGTTAAGTTAAATTAGCGTACAGTTCAATTATAGTGTATTAATTATGTAATAGTAATTGCATTATATTAAGAGGGGTGTTATTAGAATGTTCTAGAAGGGTCCAGGGTTTGGTGGAACAGCGGTCTGGCGGGGCAAGGCGAGGTCAAAGACAGACTGGATGAAGATTTGACCAATCGTTCGAAGCCCTGCACAACGATTGGTCCAGAATGAATGGCATCAAGGACCAATGGGAAGCCTGGAAATGGACCAATCACCATGCGGATCCAAAATGGACCAATCCTGGCCTCGAAGGGGGCTATAAATGGGGCAGCTCTGAAGCATCAGGGCTCCTTGAGGATATTTGTTAAGGGGGGAGAACCCAGCGCACTCGGGGTTAGCGCACTGTTCTGGTTTGGCTTGCTCTGTGGGTGCCTGGGCTTATCCTGGGTACTCTGTTCCTGGCAGCTACTTTAATAAACGAGAACCTCTTTCTCCAGAGAAAGTTTGGCCTCATTCATATTTATAACATCTCCAGTGCACACTACTGACAGTCCCTGGATTAACACAAATCCAACATAAAAATGTCATGGTTACTCACCTAAGGAAACAACAGCCACGCTCTCTGGTAAAAAATGAAGCCGGTATTCTATCAGTAAATGCACCAATATGATGCAAATAGCTGTGAAGGGAAAAGAATGGAGATTCAGGAGTGTTGGAAAAGAGTAAAATATACTTTTAAGTAGTATTTTTAAAATACACAAGCAAACTTCTAATGATTTAGTAGACTTCACTTTGGCAATAAACCAAAGCACCGGTGTAAACAGTGGCTTCCACCACCGCAAATGTTCTAAATCCCTGTGCCTGTGCAAAATGCCACTTCTCAGAGAGAACCAGAGGAGAAATAATAACTATGATTTTGAGTTGGCCTATGTCCTCAGACACAGAGTACAGTTAACAGAGATTAACAGACTTTCAATTCATCATTCACCTATAACAAGAAGACTAAAAAAAATCGTCATGCCACTGGACTGTTCCTCTTGCTGTGCCTGGACTCCAGTCTGAACTGGAAGGATGGGCTTGGGAGGTGTAGGTGCCACCAGCTTGGTAGTAGCGGCCAGCAGAGTGTGGAGGGTGGCATTGATGACCTCGTGGGTGGCATTTGCAGACCTGTCAGGACAACACAATGTGTGATTATAGCGGACGGGAGCAGCACAACAAAGCCCAGTACAGACACGCACACACCGACCCACCCACCGCCAGATCACCCGGAGCTCGTGCCGGTGACCGGCTCCTCACGGTGTGCTTCAGAAGCAGTCCGATCAGACAAACACGGCACGCTCCTGTTCCCGGAGCTACCGCTGAGTGCCCCACGCA